GAAGATGCACTCAATTTAAACTGAGTTCTGAGTTTTATAACGTGTGTGTGTGTGTGTGTGTGTGTGTGTGTGTGTGTGTGTGTGTGTGTGTGTGTGTGTGTGTGTGTGTGTGTGATCAGTCCCTGCTCAGGTCAGGCAGCTGCGGGTCAGTAATCTGGGCCGAACTGATGCTCTGCAGGTCAGCTGGGACGCTGCGTTGGGTCAGCTGGATCTGTACCGTGTGCTGCTGATCCAGGACAGTGTGGTGGTGCGGAATGAGAGTGTGCTGCCCAACACCACCACACTCCTCTTCCAGAGCCTGAGACCCGGCGCTCTGTACCGAGCGGTGGTGACGACTGCGCACCGCAGCGCTCGCTCCCGGCAGATGGTGGCAGAGGGACGCACCGGTACTGCAGCTCAGATACACTGATACACACATCCCTGTTCTGCACTTACACACACCTCTGAAACAACACACCAGCCACACTCAGAGACATCTGACCAATTAGAGAAAGAGCAGAGGCATCTGACTAATCAGAATATAGCAGAGTCATCTGGCCAATCAGAGATAGAGAAAACCTTCTGACCAATCAGAGAAAACCTTCTGACCAACCAAGATAAAGCAGAGCCATCTAACCAATAAGAGAAAGAGAAAACCTTCTGACCAATCAGAATAAAGCAGAGTCATCTGACCAATCAGAGAAAGAGAAAACCTTCTGACCAATCAGAATAAAGCAAAGTCATCTGACCAATCAGAGAAAGAGAAAACCTTCTGACCAATCAGAATAAAGCAGAGTCATCTGACCAATCAGAGAAAAAGTAGAGCCATCTGACCAATCAGAATAAAGCAGTCATCTGACCAATCAGAGAAAGAGTAGAGCCATCTGACCAACCAAGATAAACCAGAGTCATCTGACCAATCAGGGAAAGAGAAAACCTTCTGACCAATCAGAATAAAGCAGTCATCTGACCAATCAGAGAAAGAGTAGAGCCATCTGACCAACCAAGATAAAGCAGAGTCATCTGACCAATCAGAAAAAGAGGAAGAGACATTTGACCAATCAGATCAATAGACAGTCTGATTAATCAGAGACGAGTAGGGCCATCTGGCCAATTAGAGCACAGCACAGGCATCTGACCAATTACATTTCTGCAATTTAGTAGACACGTCTATCCAAAGCGACTTACACCGGTGAACACACACCCGGNGAGCAGTGAGGGTTTGATGCCTTGCTCAAGGGAATCTCCTCAAACAGGTCGATATCTTTCACTCTCCCTAACAGCTAATGCTAGTGC